AACCATATACATCGATTCAGGGAATAAGGAGATCCCTCCTTATTCAGGAGGTTCAGAGCAGACCCCCTTGCTTTCCAGACTCCTCCTCAGAGAAGGGCCCGGGGTGGCTGGATCTACTCTTAGTCTCAGACTTGGTCAATGGTTTTATGTCTTAAAGGGATGAGGTGTAGGGTTTGTGGAAAAGGAAAAGGAAAGAGAGAAGAAGACACAGAGGGAAAAAGGAAGAGAGAAAGATTTCACCAATCCTAGGTCCAGCGTTGGTTCAGTCAGCCCAGGAGTGCAGTTCCAGTGGGCTTGCTAGCCCGTGGCTTCAGTTTGTGTCCTTTTATCATCCTTGCCCCTCCTTCAGGCTGGCACCCAAAAGCGTCAGGTTAATGAGCAGTTTGTGAGCCTTTGGACTCGGGGGTCCTTTGTGCAGTAACTTCTCCTTCCCTGCAGATGTGGCCATTGTTTGATCTTTGTATCAGAACAGCTTATCAGAACAGAGTGCTGCGAACCCTCCAGCATGCCCTCCCCCTCCTGTTGCTGATGTCTGAGCTGATGGGCTTTTCACCTTGACTTCTTGCTGTGCAGGGTTTGTCTTCAAGCAGAACTTGCCCCACCACAATGTTTGAGACATTAACTCTTTCAGTCTCTCACACTTGCAAAGAAAGTGTTTGCTTTTTTGTACATTAAGTTCAGCTGCCTCCTGTCTCCAGAGTATCATGCTCAGGATCAATATTGCTTCCCTCTATGACATGAACATCCTCAGTCCTTACTGAGGTATACCGCTTATAGTTCAACACTTTCTTCATAGCACTGAAACACTCAAGGTGCTGACAATTTGCTCTCTCTAGCAATCCATAGCATTGGTGAAGCCCTTTTTAAGGTTTGTAGTGGTAAACTTTTCACAAATTTGCTGCCTGTTCATATTTCTAGACCATAAGTATCTAACTTACTGGGTTTTTTGACCTCTTGCATATTGCCAACTGCAAAACTTCTCCAGATGGACTAACTGTCTCCTGCAGATGTGAGGCACCAGGGGTTTGCAGTCTTTGCAGGCACAGGTGATTGAAAGGCTGATATCATGCAAGTCAAAACTGAACTGATTAGTTATCTATCATCTGCCCCATTATTCCATATAACTTGGTTTCTTTGGGGGTTGTTTTATTTTGTTTCCAGCTGAGGACAGGGGAATTAAGTAGTTTTGCTCAGCCTTTCCACTGGCAAGAACTGCAGTCCTGCCTGCCTCCTGGCTGAGCAGACATTCAGGACCTTCCAGGAAGATGCAACCCTTGTAACATTTAGTTTGGACATGTCTCCTTAATTCAGCTTTCATGCTTAAGACTTGCCTAACAGATTGTGCTTTGCCCTGGAGATCAGTAGTACTGGAGACTTCTCCTCTTCTGTGTTTTCAGGGACACAGGAAGAAGCTATGCCTTCAAATAGGCTCTGCAGTGTATGTACAGGGGACTGTTCCTGTACACAGCTAACGTCTATTGGCAATGATTACAGTAATTGATACCAGTGTAGTAACCTGCTCTGACAGTGACAGTTTTCATCTACTATTGCTTAGCACAATTATCCTTAGGGTTTTTTTGCATGCTTCACAGTACAAATGTCCTGCATGCTGTTCTCAACCCTGCCAAGGAAAAAGCCCCTTGATTTCATCCTTGCATTTTGGCTTTTGAAACACTTTTCAATAGTAGCCTTTGTACTTAGGTCAGTGTTTAGGTATTCATTACATCGTCCATTCTTCAAAAGTACCAGTGAATGAAGTAAAAGGTGTTGATTACAGATGACTTCCCTCTTTCTACCCATTTGTTCACAGAGTGAGAAGTGTTGTCTTGTGCTGAATCATGACTACAAGTTTCATGAGCTCCTCAAGGCTGCTCCCAACACTGGAGGCTGGGCTAAAGGCAGGTAGTCTTTTTTTCATCCATTATTGTCCCACAAAACAGACAAGATCACTCTAGAGCATCTGAGAGGTTTCCGAGCAAGTGCTAGTTCATCTGGCCCTAGCATCTAGTTCTGCCATGCACACAAGTATAGTTTCATTTTCCTCCTCCTGTAAGTAACTTCAAAAACAATTACACAAACCTGTGGTGCAGTTCAGTGACCTTTTAAGCTCTTTTTCAGGCTTCTAACTTGTACTTCCTTCTTTCTGAGATTGTGACCACTCTAAGAAGAAGATAAATCTAATTGGCACAAACATAAGGTAAAATTAACTTCTGCTCATCTTTATCCATAAATTCATTCTGCATGAAAACAGTAACCAAATCCTGTGTAATGCAATGCAGTCCATCTTTATTTTCTGTGTTAAAGACCTCAATTCTCCCCCAAATTATGATTTTCTCTTATGCCAATTTTCTGATGACACTGCCATTTTAATCCAAATTAAACTGCAGGCTAGGAAGATGTTGCTTTAACTGCATTACAGAGCAAAGGGAGGACTGCTGCCCACACAGGAGGCCAAGAGGAGCAGAAGCACAGCCCTGTCCATGCAGTGGACAGGGGAAGAAGAGGAGGCTGGCAGAGACAGGATGAAGCAAATGCCTCCTCCAGGGGAGGTCAGGCAGCACACAAAGGTTTTGCTTCAGGGCCACACCAAATTAGAAGGCATTGAACAACTTGTTTGGGAACAGGGAGATGCACTTCCACAGCAGTTCCAGCCAAGCCACGTCTGGGCTACCCGAGTCATGTGTTTCTTTCTGTGCTGACCTCCTGCACCTAAGTTGGCAACTGAGTGGTGCACTGATTCAGGGAAATGAAGTAAATGGGTCTTAACCTTACTAAAACACTGATTTGCCTTCAGCTGGATCAGTGTCCTGATCTAGTCCATCACGCACTCAGACAGCACTAATGTTGTTACCAGAAAGAGAGAGAATGGGGGAAATATGCAGCTGCAGGCAGACAGAAAGGTGAGACCACAGCAGCCCAAGATTTAATCAGCTTTAATTTCTGTGGAACCACACCTTTAGTCACTCCAGTGAACTCACATTGTTCCTTAGTGCTATCATATAATGATATTAATAAGTTTTTTATATATTTAGGTGTAAGCCAGGAAAAAACCCCAGACCTGTGTCTCATGTGGTGAAAGTGTTGGCATTAAACCAGCCATGTCTGCTTGATGCTTCTGTGAGTTGATCCACTGTTTGCAAAATCAAGATTCCTGCTGTTTATGTTCAAAATCCAGCAATTACTAATGCTAAGCAGCATATTGCATTGCTATCCATTTTGATAAGCCTAACTTTCACCTAGCAAAAAAAAACACAAACCTGTAATAAAGATAGATTTACACACTAGACTTTGATGTCTAGATAGATTTACACCCTGGCTCTGCATTCATTGCCAGTCTTACATCAAAGAGTTGAAGGAACTGTCAGGGAGCTTTCCTGCATAAAAGAACAATCTCTTCCGCAGCCACAGGCCCCAGCTGTTTCTTTCAGACAAACACTGTTTCAAAATTGACAGAATTATGGGCTGATAAATAAAAATCAGAAAAATAAGTGAATAAAAAGAGATGGGGAAGAAAAAGTATTTTCCTGTCAAAGCTCAACATTAAAGACATGAAGGTTCAAGAAGGTTGGTAAGGTAGCATGAGGTGGCAAAAATGCCATACATACTCTAGGTCAATACCTCACTACAGGTGAGTGAATAGTTTACAGATTCCTGTATTTCTGAAGGTTGTGTGGAACCATCAGTGACTACATAGTTTGGTCCTTTTTTATAGTGTAGTCTGTAGAGATTTGCCTAGTTTTTCATGCTGCAAGCACATAATTTTTCAATGAACTAGAGCATATGTTTAGAAAAGGCCTCTAGGACTGATTTAAGGACTTCAAGTGATGCAGAGCCACTGTGCTTCTAGGGTGAATGTTCCATTAGCTTCCCTCCCTCAGGGTTAGGCATTCATGTCTTCAGAAAGAATGTGTTCAGCTTTAGCTTGCAAGCAGTTATGGAAGACTTCTATCCCAACAAGTTTCAAAGCTTTTCAAAAGTTTTAAAACACATTTATACTGAAAATTGTTTTCCACTTCCTCCTTAAATGCAGCCACTTTGATGGTGAGACCCAAGCCTTTCCTCCAGCATGCAACAGCTCTACCTAGCACTTGAGCTAAATACTCAGGAAACAGTGAGAGCAGCCAGGAGTAAGGGAGAGGAGGGTTTAGGAAAGTAGAATGCACTTAAGAAGCCAATAGGTTTCATAGTGCTAATTTAACACTCGTAAACCTACAGAAAAGCACCTTGGACACAGAAATGAACAGTTCTGATCAGGAGCTTAATACTGGCCTTATCCAAAAAATAATACAAATCCAGCTGCTGGCCGAACTGTAGCAACACAGGACAATTTCAACCCTTTGATGTTTCTGGTACCCTCACTGCAGTGAAAAGCTTTTACTGAAAAACTTCCCTTGGAAGTTGTCAGCAAGGGTGGTATCTTTGGCATGACAAGCTCACATCTGATAGCCCAGGTCTGAGCAGCACAGTGGCACAATGAAGGCACAATCTTCAATAATATTTATCCAGTAATTGTACCTTTTGTATGTGTCTTTGATGTGAGTGGCTAGTAAAGCCAGATCTCAGACTTTGTTATCCAGCCATGACTTTTAAGTGTGACTTCCAGCATGTCGTTCATCTGAAGAGGCTGTTCTACTGCTGTCATCATGGATGCCACTGACCCCATGTTACAATAATAATTATGTTACTGCAAGATCTCTCTTTTAGTGTCTCAGGAGGAGGATATCTCAATTAAAGAGCAAGAGTTAGGTGGTAAAAAGAAAAAAAATACAGAGAAACAAGGATCAGTGTGTCTTCTCCCCGGATTTTATGTTTTTCATTTGTGCAAATGATCCAGAAAAAGCCAATGCCTAGGAATTAAGTTTATTTTAGGAGCTCTCCAAACATGAAATCAATAATTGGTTTGAAAGGTTACAAACAAAATCAAGCTGTCATTTGTAGCTCACTGAGGCCCTGCTTTTTGAATCCATTTCCAAGAAGGTTGCATCCACTCTTTTCTTCTTTCAGTGTCCACCTTGTAGGCACTCACTCTTGGAAGCAGGCAGATAAAGTTTGTGACCATCAGCATCAGCTCCCTCAAAGATGTAACCCGATGGGTCTTTGTAAGATGCCAAGCATCTGACAAGGCCCTTTGGTGTGTAGCTGGTGGCATAGGTCGTTTTAGCATCTAGCAGAGTGTGATGATTTGGGCCTGACCAGCCAGGTTTATAGCTCTTCACAACTGTGAGTGGATGAGGCACATAATGGGTCTGAAAGGTAGTCAAGCAATCCATTGGTTTTGCTGGGAAGGTCAGCTCCGGAGCATGAATGATAGGTTTTAGTCTCTTGCACAGCCAAGGCTTATAGTCTTCCTTCATTATAGAAGAGCTATTGAATGGCTCAGTAATTTTTTTAAGGTGGGCCAAAGATTGACACATCTTGGCTGGCTTGCCATTTGGGTGCTTATAATGTACCTGAGTAGTGGTGTGAAGGTCCATTTTCTCCAGAGGCGGAAGATATACGTCAGGTTTTTTGGTGAATACGGGATGCCATGGCCAAGCTTGGTATTCTTCTTGAAACTCAGTTGTAGAGGAAAATGGAAGATCATGGAGAAGCTTCAGCTGGTACGGTTTTGCAAGCCTGGCTGGCTCACCAACCATCCCCTTGTAAGAAACTTTGTGGGTAGTGAGGCCATCAAATGGGACCTCATTGACCTTGTATTTCTCATTTTTATGGACATAACATTTCTGCAGAGGATGTGGCACATAATTCATTCTATAATTGGTTATAGTCTCAAAGGGACCCTCAGTTTTCTGGACCAGATTCAGAGGTTTGCAGCTTTGAGTGGCAACTGGTCTCCTGTAGAGATAGTCATCCTGGACAATGGTTCTGTGGTCAAATTTTTCTTCTGATGGGTGAAATCTGTCGTTTGGTCTGATCAGCTCTGTCTTTGGTTCATTCCATAACACATAGTCATCTGAAACGTAAGAGGAATCCTTTCTAAGTGCTCAGCTGAAGTTCTTTGGTGAGTTTAGGCATATACCATATTATGTTTTGATTATTACATTTTCTAATGTAAAAAATATTTGTTGATGTTGTATTGATTGACAAACCCTATTAGAAGAGCTGCTGTAGAACACATACACTAGTGTGCTAACCCCTGGAAATGCTTAGCATTTACACAGAATATAGAATGAAAATAGTCCAGTACCCACCCATACCTACAGAGATGGTGAAATACAATGTGGGAAGGTTAAATTACATTCTCAGTCTTGCAGAGACATTTTCTGCAGGTGACTGAGTGGCTGCTGTCCTCATGCTCAGTCAACCAGAAATCATGAAAGTGGAGTATCATTGCACTGACTTCAACCCCCTTCATTTACCCTCCTGCAGCTATGTTGTGGCTGGCTCAGAGCACAGGCAGAGTATGCCTATGTCTGCAGAAGGCGGTTCACGTGTCTCCCACAGTAACTCTGTGGCAAGGAGAACCAGATGTCCATCATTCTACTCTAAAGGCCAAGTTGTAGAGCTATGCATCGTTTTTATACCTTCTCATTTGGGGACGACCCAATTTCTCAACTGCATAGATGTGATGCTGCATAGTATTTGCCGAGTTCAGGGTTTTGCAGCTCATTTGGTGTCAGCAACCTGTGCTGTGTGGCATCTCCTTGGCTCTTGGCTTTGCTTTCTGTGGTACTCTTGCTGTCAGTACAAGCAGGAACCGAGAAGGAGCTTGTAACTCTGTCTCCAATTCTTCCTTATTAGAAGAACTGTGCCGGAATTTACAGACTAAGCCTACACTGATCTGAAGCATTGAATCATACCACAGAGACGGTCCATACTCCAGAAATCTTGCTATCCAAATTCATGACTAAGAAAACATTTTACGTAGCATTTTAGAGACATTCATATCTTCCTTCCTCGGCAGGATACCAGGGGAAAAAATGAGGCACTGAAACTTAAAAAGATTTGCACTCAGTCACACTAGAAAGCTATTGCAAATCTGCCTAGCCCTCCAACCAGTGCTACAGCCAGAAGACCATCATTTTTTCCCTTCCTAGCAATCTTGTGCAACTTCCCCTAGAGAGCATTATGGTTACTGGTAGGAAGTTAAAATGAAATAGTCTTGGAGCTAACCCAAGTATTTTTTTTATTTAATTTTCCCTCCTTTTAAACCACATTCAGAGTCATGAGGCAAATAAGCTTCCAGCTGACTCTGCACAGGAAGGAAGTCTAGGTTTCAAAGTACTAGAAAGTAAATGATGCAATTATATATCAGGATATTTGAACTCTCCAATCCAAACAGAGTTATTCCTATTGAATGGCAGTGGCTATGGTACTGCACAAACACAATTATACAAAGGATGTGTTCATTACAATGTGAAGTTGACCCAAAAAAAAGTAACTTTTTGTCCCAATTAGATGTCTATTTAAAGTCTTTCGGGTTCATAGCAAGTTGCTCTGCCCTGTCACAAGAGAGGAAGCAGCAGCCACAGGTGTCATGCTGCTCCCAGGAAGCACCCCAGCCCTTGGGTACAGAGCTGCCCTCATGCCACTAATTAGTGTAGTCAGTGGAGAATATGGCCCTGCCTGTGTGCACTGACATAGACATTCATTTGCCACTGTCGGTGCCACTGAAGTGCAGGCTGAGTGCCCTGCTAGTGTCAGGGTGTTTAAATGCTCCAGGTACTCCTGTTTCTCTGGGCAAATAGGAGATGTCCAGGCACCACCACGCTCATGGGATGCTGACCTTGTACTCGTGCCTAGGGTACATAATTTTCCTGGAGAGATGGTCCAGCAGGGTGAACCATGAGCACATATGGACATGTGTTATTACAGGGGATGTATTAATAAAGTGTTAAAAAGTGAGAAGCTAATGAGCTTCTCAAAGCAAGGGGTCATTCAGAGATCTGACATTTCAGACACCAACCAAGAGTTACCAAAAAACTTTTTATGTTCTCCCATCATCTTTGCTAGAAAACAGTCTGTGCATTTTGGATGTAACCACGGCTTTTGCAAAATATTCAAAATATGACAAGGAAGTCCATCTGTCTCCAATTTTAAAAATTTACAAGCTCTACACGTTTGGAGACCTCATAGGCATTATGAAGTTATTTTACTTAGTGTAAGCCAGCAGTGCTACTATTCCTTCAAAATATGTTACAATTTTATTGTAACTCTAATTCTTCTCCCACAGATATTAATAGTTTCCCATGTAGCACAATCTTGAAAACATTAGGGGGTACAGGAGGGAGCAGAGGATATGAACCATATGTTATTGGAGGGTTAGGCACATCTCACTGTAACAAAGCAAGACAAAACTGAAGTTAGATTGTGTACCTGCAGTTGGTAGGTATGTGCGTATCTTAGAGGAGATGAGAATTTTGAAACCTTAAGTTGCAAAGTAATCTGACATTAATTGTGATATGCAATAGCATCATCTTAAACCTACAGTGTCATTTGGGATATGGTGTGTTTAGTGGGAAGGAGTATGACACTACAGTAGGAAAGGTAATTTAATACCAATGCAGCACTGTTTTATATGCTGCTTAAATATTTGAATTATGATACTTAATTGAATAGCATGTTTCAAAATTTCACACTTGAGTAGTGATCAGTAAAACCTAGCAATGCTTAGAGAATAGCCCAAAGAAAACTTGTATTTTTTGTGAACCTGGGCCTTTAAAAGGGAATTTATTCAGTATGCAACTTGACCTTTGAGGGGGTTTGGACAAAGATTTCCATTTGCAGTGTTTTGAAAAATACAGAAATTATAACCAAATGTAGCTGTGATACATTTTAGTAGAGCTCTAGAGTAACAGTTAAGGTGCTGACCTAAACACTGATAAAAGACAAAGATATACATCTGGTTCAGATACAGAGAAGTTAGGGATATCTAAACACAGAAGGAACGATCCTCTGCTTGTGCAAAGCAGCCTTTTTTTATTGGCTTCACTGAAGCTATTCCAATGAATACCATCTGGTGACATTGCCTATGCAAAACAAAGTGTTCAAAATTTTAAACATGGGCATTTTGCACCTGCGGGTCATGGTCTTCATGACTCAAGTCATTCTAAATGTACAGTATTTCCTGTGTGCTTAATGTAGAAATTTCAGTTTATGCCATTGCAAACATGCAGCTGCACTAAAGTCTGACTTTCAGTCATTTCAGCTGGGTAATCTTAACACTGCATTCACATAGCTTTTATTTGCTTACTTCCTTTATCATTTCAAGTTTTAAGAAAAAAATTGTTTCTTTACATTGGGACAAATATCAATGCCAGCACCAATCATAAGCTTTTATATTTGCATAGCATAATAATAAAATAAATTAAATAAAATAAAATAAAATAAATTAAATAAAATAAAATAATTAAAAATTGTTTTAAGAAATACACAAATGCTAGCTATCTGCCTAGCAATGTTAGCTAGCTGAAAGGTGTGCAGAGGGGAGGCAAAATCCTCTGATTTTCTACTTATGACTTACTACCAAAATTAGTACCATTGCTGTAAATATGTAACTGAAAGATTTTGCCCAGTGCATGCAGAAGAGATTTCATGCTGTTGGAGAGGAAGGAACAAAGACCCCACAAACACAAACCACCTACACCAAGTTACTGCTACTGAGACACAAGGGCATAGTTAGATGCACAGTTCACCTGTTTTACCAGGAGTAGAACTTGAGTGCTTTGGAAATTTGTGTGGAACTTCTGCGTGCCCATATATGCCTCCTGCACATTGACAGATTAACTCTGCAGCACACAGAAAAAGGGTCCCATGCTTCATGACGTGCTCAGATGCAGCAAATTCTATGTATTTTGTGTGTGTCTGATCCACTGAATGTGTGGACCAGCCCTTCAGTATACCAAGAATATGTTCAGTATATCCTAAAGATGATGATGGTGGACCCATTTTCAGGAGTTCACAAGGCCTTGCTTCTACCTAGGATGTCTCTAGGCCTGTCAGACATGCAAAGGAGGTGAATTCGGAGAGGTCCCAGTGCTACCATTAATGAGGGGCTGTATTGCCAACAATTTGTGTCTGTGTCGTTCCTGCACAACTTGCTGGCATACATAAACAGAAGAAATAACAACTGCACACTGTTTTGATCTGTCTTCTTCAAAAATGAAGCTACTGGTGAAGTCCTGAAAGAATCTGCAAGAGCACATACCTTCATAAGCGGTTCTTGTATCCATCTTGGTGCTGGGGATGTGTCTCGTCACACAGGGGAGGCATGGAGGTACTTGAGAGATAGGGTAGGAGTTATAATCTTGTTTATAAGTGGAGGTCAAATCCATACTCTTGTCATGCTTTTCAGGTGGTTTAAGTTTCTGTGGCAACACTTCATGAGCTATGTAATCTCTCCTGTGAAGAATAATTTCATTATGTCTTTTGTCTTAAGGAAAAAATTATGTTCATTTTTCTGGACACACAAAGAAATTAATACTTTCCCCTACCTCCACAGCCTAGGAAAGTCTGGATAGGATACAAGTAGTTAATGAGACACACAAGCCTTTCACATTTGGAAACCTGGACTCTGAAAAAGGAACTGAGGCAGCTCTGGACAACCTCAGGCAGTCCAGGTTCCCCCTTCTCTCCACCCAGTGAGGTTAATGGCCTTACACAAAGATATCTCTGTTCTACAGTGGAGTTACACCAGAAGGCATAACTCCTTTTAAAAGCCCAACAATTATAGCAGGCTATCTAGTACATATGGGAAACATATGAGAGGCAACAATAGCCTTCCCAGACAACACACTGTACAGCAGTCCAGCCCAGGATGGGGAGATAAAAACAAAACAGTTTTACAGTAAAACACCAGCTGAGGAAAGAAACATCAGCATGGTCAGACAGTCAGCTTTTTCTCAGGTACCACTGTAAAAGAGCTATTTTAAGATACTGGAGTAGTGTCACTTAACTCCAACAAAACATTACAGAAACAAGATGGAGAAGAAAATAATATCACCATCCAAGATTCACTAACCTGAACCTATTTCACTGCCCACATCCTTTGGTACAGGGCAGAGAGCTGCTACTTGGCACCGGTGAATTTAGTCTCTAATGTCAGAGTACTTTTCCACTGGTGTGCAGATCTGTTTACACCACAGGCAGCCAGCCAGAATAAATGGTCAGTACAGGAGCTATTCTAATATTTATATCGTGCTTTGCATCTGGAGTGGTAATGCGTGAGCAAGAGCCTGAGTCTCCGAATATACTGTTTTTGTTAGGAAATAAACAAGATTCTCAAAATTCTCTGTGTAGCAGAAGGGAAGAGAATTCACATTGCAAATTATTAGGTATAGGGGTAAAAACAGAAATGCAGACATAAAAAAAAAATCAAGAGCATCAAGAGGTACTTATGTAGATGTTACACATGTTGTAGCCCCTTGGCATACTTCCATCAGCAATTTAAAGCTAATGTGTTTTTTAAGAGGAGCTAAGAAAAGGCAAGCAGGAATACAACAGGCATGCAGCATCCTCAGTAGCAAGGAGGGCTCAGTAACAGAAAGGGTCTTTCCCAAGCCACTCACAGTACACTGCACGGTGCCATGTTTGAAACAGGTGAGCCTGTACCAGAGGCAAGTAACAGATCACAGACAGGCAATTCTTCAGGGTTTTCTGGCAGTGGGCATATCTTTTCCCACTCTGACTATTGCAATACAACAGAACCTGCAGTGGAGATTACAGAGGAAGAGTTGATCTGCTGATAAATCGGTGGCAACCTGCATCCAAGATGCCATGAAAAATGGTACTGCCTGCAACTCCCAGACTTTATCAAGGGGGCTTGCTGTTGCAATATGACACCTAACACTCAGTGGAGCGTTATTAGAGAAGACTGGTGACAACTCAGTGTTTGCTTGCTGGCCTCACAGTCCCTGCAGCTGTTCTCATACACTCCATCCATTTGTTCTCTCTGAGTTCAGCCACACAGAACCAGAGCTTTTAGCAGCCCGCTAATAGGTGGTGGCACTTTTCCACTAGGCCTTGGTACTTTCACGCTGGCTGGATTTTCTTACCAGTGTTGCCCAGAGGACAGCAAGACTTGCAATCTGATGGCTAACTGTTCAGGCTCTGTGTTTTCTCCTCTCACAAGGGCGGGCAAGTTTTACGTATTTGGTAGAGTGCACGCTCTGAAGAAGCAAATGTAAGTAGTTTCTGTGCTTTCTTACTATTCTGCTTTTCAGGAGTTGTACTAAACTCCAAGAGTAACAGTTACTGTGGGAATCACTAGCCTTGTCTGAGCAAGGATAGTTTTGCTGGTTGAACCAAAGTGTATAAGGACTCCTTGACAGACCCCACATGGTGGCTGCCCCTCCTCGCCTGCCTTGAGAGGACACCAGTGAGCCCAGGGTTTAGTTATAGGCAGACACAAAGATGTCTAGCTGCTTCAGCTCATGCTGGAGATGGAAGGCCTATACAGAAGCGAAGTTTGCTCTTTGAAACCCTCTGATCCTCTCTGTTGTTGCTGAAAACTCCCACAGAGGCAGAGGCATCCCAAATGTAAGTCAGGCATTTCAGACTCCATCAGCCACATCTGTGGTTTAAATTCACAACTCTTAAAAAGGCATAGTTAGAGGAAGGAGTTGGTAGAGCTTCTACATCAGGATAGGGAAAAATAGATGGTGTTAGCTATTAAGACTTCCATTACCAGCCTTTGGCATCTCCTAGGTGTCTAATTCAGTTCAGCAAAGGCAAGAGTGATGTTGCTTGTGACTGTGCCTGTGATGAGAAAGGAAGTAAACATCAAGATAAGGCAGCAGCCACTGTTTGAGGAAAGGGAAGCTCTCAGATTCATATTAAAGGATCAGATTCCTATTTTTTATGAGTTTCTTCTGTGGACAGGTGCTTGGCACATCACTCTGCCAGCAGCAGGGAAGAGCCTCAGCAGTTACTTCCATCAGGGAAATGGGCATAGTGCAAGAGCAGGGGCTTCTGCCAAACACCAGCACTGAGCGACAACATACCTGAGGAGCAGAAAGAGCCCAGCAATCCACAGTGAGTGCCTTGAGATGAACACCCAGACCCCCTTTCCAATCATCAAGCCCTACCATATTCACACCTCCTTGGAAACCAGTCATTCATGTTACAGTGTACAAAGTGCCACACAACACACAGAACAAAAGACAAATACTCCTCCAGTATCACCAATACTTTCCCAGACAACACTTCTGCTTGTTTCCCAGAAACCTTCCCAAAACAGAAAGTGAGCAAAAGCCAAGACATGACTGTGTTTCTATGGCCCATGTATTCTCTGATCAGATCACATCTCAGCCTCCAGGAAGCGCAAGAAGAATAGCTGCTTGCCTCTGCTACAACAACTGGCCTCCGACAGACCTTCATCCCTCCTTCACAGAGCCCACAACATTGTTCTGTTCAGGCTCCCCTTGTGAAAACCAATCATTTTTCTTTTCTCTGTTACTCATCTCTCACACACACATTATCTAAGTCACAGCCCTCACTCTTTTTCAGTGTTTTTCATACTTTGTAGTCGAGATGCCTTCCATGGGTATCTGTGCCATCTTGTATGCTTCTTTTGGCTTAAATGAGCCTCTGGGAACAGTGATGGAGTAAAGGGGATATCGCTTCGGGTACTCTGACAGCATGCATGGCTTCTCAGTCTTCTTATAGGGCCTCATGGGCAGGTGTGGACAATGGTGACATCTGCAAGGGAAAAAAACAGCACAGCAGTTAGTGACTCACAGATAGCTGATTAACAATACCTCATTGTGTAAGTTGGATGCAGGTTGCAACTACAAAATAGGGGATGAGTGACCATTGCAATGACTGCTGCAGCCTTGATTATTTAAAGTGCAAAACCATAACCTGCCCAAAGAAAGGGCTACTTCTGTTTGCTACTATAGCCTGTGGTAAAAAAGTCTGTGAAGCCAACAAAAACAGCCTAAGAAACACAAGTTCACCTAGATGAACTAAAAAGCAAGTTAACCTGAGATACTACCAAGTGCGCCATATTGTGCTGGACTAGAAAGTCTATTTAATGTCCCTTTTGTTCCATTTCTCATCAGTTTATTGCCCTACTGTCCTGGTTTCAGCTGGGATGTAGTTAACTGTCTTCCTAGTAACTGGTACAGTGCTATGTTTTGAGCTCAGTATGCAAAGAATGTTGATAACACTGATGTTTTCAGTTGTTGCTAAAGTAGTGTTTAGTCTAAAGTCAAGGATTTTTCAGCTTCTCAAGCCCAGCCAGCGAGAAAGCTGGAGGGCCACAAGAAGTTGGCACAGGACACAGCCAGGACAGCTGACCCAAACTGGCCAACAGGGTATTTCATACCATGGGACGTCACGTCTAGTTTAGGAACTGGGGGGAGTGGCGGCGGGGAATTGCCGCTTGGGCACTAACTAGGTGTCGATCGGCGGGTGGTGAGCAATTGCCCTGCGCATCATTTGTACATTCCAATCCTTTTATTATTGCTGTTGTCTTTTTATTAGTGTTATCATTATCATTATTAGTTTCTTCTTTTCTGTTCTATTAAACCGTTCTTATCTCAACCCACGAGTTTTACTTCTTTTTCATGATTTTCTCCCCCATCCCACTGGATGGGGGGGGGGGGGGGGGGGAGGGGCCGGGGGG